CGTTTTAGTAGTATTTGAGAGCGCAATTAACAGACTTGGCAAAGTGCCAAGGAGCCGCACGCGACACGCGCGCTTGCAACGGATGTTATGAAGGACGGGAATCTGCGCCGCAAAAGGTGTAAGGCGGAGCATGGAGGAACTAGCGTGTTTCACGGTCCTGTATCTCCATTCCTGGGCATGTTTGGGCGGGGGGACCACGACACATCGACAGCTGGGGGGCTGATAGTCTCATACACCCTCAATGTGTTTGAAGTACCATGTGTCTTAAAAAGCATAGACCCCATGGTTCTCATCGTCAGTGGAAAGATCCCGGAACTGCGGTTTCAAAAGGTTAGCTCAAGTCGTTCCGGCACGATTTCCTCTCCGCGACTTAAAGACAGTTGGCATGATAAATCCCCCGAGACGGCCAGAATCAGTACTCCTGGCATGGAGCAGGATAGAATTCCGCGGACCTGGGCAGGTGCTGCATAGCGGTTTCCACGAGGAAGGTGCTCTTATAAGGGTCCTTATAGCACACTTTACGTCGCCCAAACGTCCGCCACGGCCCGGCCCACAAATGGACGACCGTTCCTGACGCGCGTTTTCATTAATTTGCTAAGCAACTTATGAAGCAAAGGGGTTGGTATGAAGCGGTTGTGATGCTGCATGGATACATGAGTACACATATTCAGCCGTATCTTCGGTAGCGGTGATTGTCAAGATACCTACGGGAAACTCGTCCGAAATCGTACAAAGTCATGACCAAGGGAGGTCGTTCAGGGCGTGGTGCGCTTTTCGAAAACGGTTTGTTGCATATTGTAGGGGCTCACGCAAGGACCTGAAAAGTGTGCTTCATTTTCGCTGCGCGCTTCCAGGAACGGTAAAAAACGAGTGAAAAGAAATCTTTGGAATCTGCTTCGTTCTGGGCCTCTTTACGGCGTAGGTCACTTGCAACTTTGACCAGTTGCTGAGTGGGGGTCCTTATAAAGGGGCTATTTGAATCGAAGCGAAAAATAAAAACAAGTGAGCCCTCCGACCTGGCAATGTGTTCAAGGGTGATGGCTTTTTGAAGGTTTCCCAACGATATAGAGGCGCTTGACAGTGTCGAAGTATTCCGATTTTTGGCCTAGGGGATAGAGTGAAGGTTTCGCAATCGGACAGTGAGGGTGGGGTTAATGGTTCGGCTCCCCTTGCGTCGCGACTTTTTGCATTTTTTAGATTTCGCTGTTCTCGCTTCCATTTGTGTCTGCGCATGAATATAACTCGGATATTTGCCATTTATGGGCACATTCTGAGTAGCTATACCTCATGAGTCAGTGCTATTCAACTATTCCGACTTTCACGCACCTGAACAGCTGTGCTGGAACGTTGACTCATAGGCTATACAGTGAATCTATTGGAATGTATATTCTGGTGTGGTGCGATTATATAGACATTTCGGCCAATCTTCTTCCTACTGAAATCGTTATGTAACACCATATAAGGGAACGTTCAGCGCTAAATCCTGTTGGCAGATTGCGTGGACTCCAAAGAATTAGGTGTTTATTTTGTGATCAAGGCACTGATTTAACAACTATAACACGAATTTTTGGTTTAAAACATTGTTTATGGACGTTCTTTTTGGGTTGCTTATTGTCCGGTGTCCGTAGCGCCAACGATACGTCATCGACGTCATCGCTGTTACGAAGATGTGATACTCCGCTCACACTGCCGAGCCAAATGGTGGACGACACCTACAACCCGAAAAAGTCAAAAAAATTTTTTCGCTCAAAACTTGCTCCTAGGGGTAATCGACAGTCCTGATCACGATTCTAGACTTTATTTTCGGTTCCAGTGCCATCTGGCACCGGCATAGCGCCGAAGAGCTGAGTCTGTGCATACTAACGAATTCGAACGAAAAAGCAGTTTTGCTCCATAAAAGTAGGATTGTTCAGTTTATCGTGAATGTTTTTGTTAGGACCAATTATTTAGACAAACATAGGATCCAAAAATGAAATTTGTAGATAAAAATTTTTTGTCCTGGGGGATCCGAACCATCGACCTATTTTTTACGTTTTTTTTTTATTCGTAGAAGCGCGCAGCGAAAATGAACCTCAGTTTTCTGGTCCTCGTATGTGCCCCTACAATATGCACAAGACCATTTTGAAAAAGCTCACCACGCCCTGAACGACCTCCCTTGTGAGAACGGAGGCTTTTTCTCCGCAGGATTTTGACCATTTCACTTCGTTCTCTCGCCATTTCCCCGCTATATAGCGTCCTACTAGCATTTCAGGCTAAGTAGGAAACCATCGTGCCTTTAATTTCTGGCCGTTATAGTGATGCTCTGTGTCTCAAGATACAATCTGCTATACGAGTTGTGTCCTTGTGTCTCGTGTGCCTTCAAGAGTTCAGTGAGGGAAAACACTCCTGATCCTTGCCATGTCGAGATGAATTAGTTGTCACACAGGGATGTCACTTACACAGAATAAAGAATAGAAGCGAAAAGGGCTCATGGTAACGATACCGAATGCTGTCTTCATAGATATATAAAAAAACCGCGACTGAGAGATAGGAAAGAAGAAAGAAAAAGCGCCTAACCGGTAAGGCGAGCGCCCTTCTTCTGAGGGCTGCACGCTTGACTATAAGGGGCGGGGCGGAAGACACCGAAGCGCATATGACTTCGCGTGGCCTTATTCTGGCTTTCGAAGCGGAGAAAATTACGCTACTGCAACGACGGACCATATATCACACGGCAAGAACGGTTCTAGGAGGTAAGCTTAGAAAGTTGTTTTTAAGAATTCACGTCCTCTTACTTCTTATGCAAATAGAACTTAACACTGTTTATTCGGACATTCTGTTTACAATTTAATACAAGACCTTTGAAAAGGAAGTATTCATAAAAAAGCGTTACAATTCAGTAGTGGTCAGTGAACAAGAACCCGCTCGTTTAAAATCTTATAAGTGGTTTCAGTTAGTGATTTATGGGAATCAATCTGAGTGGTTGCTTCTTTGGAAGAAGGACTCCAGCATAGATCGGTTCCAAGTAATGTCCGTCTTTGCAGGTTGATCTGGAAATACTGAACACTAGACCCTTTTTGAATCGTATCAGTAAGCAATTTTCTTAGCTCAGATTGTCGAAGGTACATTTCAGACCCAAGGCTATCATCGGAAGCTGGGTTATGGGTAGAAGTCTTGACCTCATGCGGGACTTGAAGCCTCACCTCACGCATTCTGAGCGAGTGCGCTATTCCTTTCGCTAACATTCCAACAAAGGATTTTCGTCGGCAGAAGCCCACGGGTCCGAGAGAGCGCTTTAGGGTTTACATGAAAATGTCTGTATGTGGGCCACACTTTTGACCTCAAACGAGACTCGAAATTCCACTTATGGTACTCGAGCACAGGCTCATCGACTACGCTATTACAGCCCCATGCTGAGCAAATAGATTTGAGCCGGCGCAGTG